ATTCACATTTCGATTCATCTGAATCGTTTAACATGAAAGATTAGAATAAGTATGTGTTTTGTTGAATAAGTATATTAAAATATAAGTCATTAATATTGATGCATTTAGTAGATACATATTTTTTAGAAAGCGGATATTTGGATTTCTGATATTTTGAAGTCTAATTTTGCGTCTTGATCATTGGAGGAGCTTCTTTGTAATTATCAATAAAATGAAGAAAAAAACCTTGAGTCGATTTGGGAGTTTCAACATTGTTCGAAAGTTTGTTGAAAATCGTGGTTATCATTTCCTACATTAACTATTTAATTTTTAACGTCTCATAGGGTAAGTTATAATAAACAAAAAAAATTGAATTTTTTTTTTTTTTTTTTTTTGTTACAATTTATTTTTGTTAATCAAGACTTTAATGTCTTATTTACAAAATTGATATGAGCAAAAAAAAATACAAAAAAACAAAAAATGCAATACATTGAATATAAAATGAAAAAAGTTAAAATAAAAATTAAATTAAAACAGTAATACAAAAATAAAACATAAATGAACGATGACGTGATGATGTATGCCGCGTACTACGTCAGGACGCGTGCAGACATTGGGCTAGGTGTTTGGTAGATCGGAAGGAAAAATCGAAAATGAAAATTTTTACATATCTTTACGTTTCAAAGATTACTGAACATTTTGGCATACCTTAGAAGAAATGGATGCATGTGTGTGTTTGTGTGTGTGTGTGTGTGTGTATGTATGTTTGAATACAATTTCTCGTCCACGATTTCGGGCACATGCCTCAACCAACTTGAAAAATAAAAAGCCATTTGATTTATATTGATGATTTATATTGAGTGAAGATAGGTCTAGCCCTTTTGAAGATACGAGGCAAAATATTAATTCAGTTTTTGAGAAAACGAACCCGATTTGAATGATTCAAAACACATTTTACTTGTATTGACGAAATAAAGAATTGATAGAAAATTTTTCAAAGGCAGGTCTGGCGGTTTCGTAGATACAGAAGAAAATGTAAAAAAATGATATTTATCATTAGATATATCAGATTTTTTATAGAGATTTTGATCATGAGTACTAATTTTGTTAAAATTTTAGGTTCCGTATCAATATTTCTAATTTTTAAAGTATTAACGCCACTAACAACTACTATTTTTATACAGCCATAGCCTCGAAATATTGTAAATAACTTGATATTTAAAAAAAAAAAAAAAATCAAAATTTGATTTACTCAACAAATGGTCATAAGTCACTCTTTTATGGGCATGACAAATATACTTGTCAATACACAGAATTTTTCTGTAACTTTTCTATGACTAGTATATTTATCAGTTACTTAACTGTTTAATTGCGCACATTATAAATTTACAATATTTTTTTTTTCAATTATGAAAATAACTGAATAATAAACAAATTAATTGCCCAATGAAAAACATTGGACTACTTATCGAGAATAAATATTATTCTGCTCATCAATGCTTTTTTTAATATAGCAGTATTTTAAAGTTGTCTTTAAATCAAGTTTTACCCTGGATCTCTAAGACATCACAAATTACTGATATTTATTATAATTGGCAACTATTAAATTAAAAAAAAAGATATAAAAACATTACCATGTATCTTGTGCAGTAAAATAAAGCTGCGGCTCTGTCCGAGAATTATTTCTTTTGCTGTACATTCGCCATAACATTTTATATCGCAGCAATTAGGAAAAAATGTTGCCGTTAAATCGGGAATGTTAATACTTTTCGTCTAGCAATGTGTTGCGGCGACGGCGGCGTTCAAATTACGTACTTTGTTCGGAAAAAATTTCTTGGTGAATATTCGCGTATAATATCGGGTATAGTAAATTAAGCCTCTATTCACATACAACACGTGCTTGTACTCATACCATTTGGTTTTGTTTTTAATGCGATATTTTTTAATGTCCTTCGCAACGGCGACCCTCACAAATCACTAGCCAACGCGCCCCGACTCTATTTGCTTTCGTGTACACTCGCATTTTGTTACAGAGTATGAGAGAGGTAATTTTCAAACTTACCTAACAAAAGTACAGAACGGAACAAACTGTCGTTAATAAATTTTGTGATTGCGGTAAATGTTTCGACTTGTTACAAGTTTTTTCAAACTATATTCTGATTAAATTACGACGATTTGTAGTGGAGCCCAAACTGGGGAAAAGGAATGCGTTATCTAAAAGCTTCCATAACGCATTGCCGAAAATATTTCTAATTATATTCCGATGCTCTTGGTCTTGTTTCTTATCTCTAAAACCAAAAAATAGTGACCTACAACTTAAGTCTAAATAACAAAAATACAAATAAAGGAAAACGCTTAAAGCAAATTTATTTCGATTTTTTTCAGGTGGCGTTGGTTCTTTTAAAATATCTCCATAATATCTCCATAGTATTCCATAAAAATGCTTATGCTTGGAGCATAGCTCTGTATGGATCAGAAGCCCGGATTCTGAGAAAGATTGACAAAAGCTGTCTGGAAAGTTTTGAGTGATGCTGTAAGCGAATGAGAATATACAGAGGCCAGATAAGATAGCAAATTAAAGAAATTATGCAAAAGAAAAACCTTTACGATCGTTACGATCATTAAAAAGTAAGAAAACTGGATTGGATCCATTCTGTACTTTCGGTATTCGGTACCAGTTCTTTACTGGGAAGAAAAAAAATGTAGATAATTGATAACCTACGCGAGAAGAAGAAATACATGGAACTGAAAAGTCAAAAAACAGGACAAGGAAGTATGAAAGCAGAATTTGGGGAAAAAAAATCTATAAAACCGTCAAAAAACGTTAATATTAGCAACGAAATGGCAGTGGTAATAGTAAACAGGTGACAGACAGAAAATCATTGCTTCTGTTGCTCTCAGACCATGGAACTGCCTTCGAGCAGACAACCATTTATTATTATTATTAAATTCTAAAGTATCAACAAAGAACGAAAATAATATTGCAATTTAAAAATAAATTAGAAAGATTTACATACCTCATTCTTGATTGATATCATGTCCAAAATACCTTCTATCACGTTGTTTTAATTCCGCATTTCTCTTTCATTTATAGTAACCTTATAGTTGTAATAATTTTCTCATTTCAGATTTCTTTACTTATTTTCACAGGTTACAATTAAATGGTTGTTTTAAAAGAAACTGCGATTTTGGCTATTTCTCCTGTAAGTGCTACTTGAATTTGAAATTTTATCCAAGTACTTGATTCAACATTCCACATAATTTCCATTGACTTTCTTCATATTCTGCAACTTCCAAACTTTTTTCTTTATATTAGGTTAGAAGCTCATTAAAAATTAATAAGTTTCTAATACTTATTATCAATATTTTTAATTGTAAAAAAAGTAAATGAAGACTTGGAAACTAATTATTCAAAGTAACAATTAGTAGTAACTAGTAGAGTAACTATTTTAAGTATTTTTATTAAAAACTCAGCTCCTAAATGACAAATGTAGTAGATACTACACTTTGTCCACAGACTATTTAGATATGTTTATACTTCAAGAAAAAAGTGCATAATAAAGTAATTATAAGAAAACGTGCTGTAATAAAGTAAATAAGGTTATATGTGAATTATAATTTTGTATCATATACAGGACGGCTATGCTTTAAGGGTGGTAAGTTGCAAAAAGTTCAGCACTATCAAATTGTAGTGCATACTATTATTTATATTTGATTTTTTTTTATTTTTATATCTTCAATTATGGTGAGGATTTATTACACTTCATAAGTAACTTATCAGAATCAATTTAAATATTTGAATTTCATTTAATATATAATTCTAAACATTCACCAATTTTATCACAGTGTGTGAATATTGAGAATCTTTCGAAGCTTCATACTTTCAACGGCGCGACGTGCTAGATCATAAATTTCATTTTCGCTTTCCGAACGATTTTTCGGCAATGTCAACATTGGTCTATAAATAGCAGTACCAATTACAGTTTGGAATTGTTTACTACTACCCATATATTGCAGAGCTTTGGTCAACTACTTGATTTTTTATATGAAGAGTTCAATTTAGCAACGAATTTCTCCAGAAAATAAATGAAACTATATGTACATTACGGATGAATTATAAAATTACTTATCAACAGGTAATATAATAAACAAGAAACTAAAATATTCTCAAGAAATTCATTTTAAAAGAAAGAGATTAAACATTTTCAGACGATGTTCAATATTGATCTGATAATTTTAAAATATCAAAACATTCCACTTTAAACTAAACTTTGTCCAGAAACTATAAGTATTCTCAACAAATCTGCTTGTCCCATTGAACTGAATATTACTGTTAAAAGCCATGTCATATGATCGATCTAGGAGAAAAATAGTACCCAAAAACATATACTATTCACAAGCTCACATATTTTTCCTGGTCTCAAAATGACCACAATCTGAAATAACAAAGTGACTTTCTATATTATGTGAACAATATTACAATATACTCTTATAGGTTAATAAAAAAACAAGATCAATTGAGAATTTTCAAAAGTCGTAAAGAAAAGAAACTAATTTAAAACGAATTATTTGACATGTATTTTCTACTTAAAAAATACCACCAAACCAACATCATTCAAGAAAAAGGTAAAAAAAAACAATGGGGTTGATTCTGTCATAAAATAGACCGATGTTATGGCAAGACCATGTTACGTAGCATTTTCATATAAAATGGTACTAAAAACTGTCAAAATGCTATGTAGTTGCTGTGCAGTCAAGCGTTTTATATAGAAAACCTAACCCAGAAAACGCACAAACGTCATAAAAGAAGGTTCTCATAAGCATACTATACATACATAAGTTCTCAAAAGAAGGTTCTTTGATATGTGCATTTATAATAGATTTATGTATAAAACTACTGATCGAACTGTATATACATAACATTTTGACTTGAAAGTTTTTATTACAATTTTATATGAAAAATGCTACATAACATAGCTTTGCGATAACATTCGTCTATTTTTTACGGCAGAATCGGCTGTTTAAATCTACGTATAATATTACGTACTTAAAATTAGGTATTGTTATTAATAAAAAATATTACTATATTTATATAATTTACTTATCCACTAAGTAACAATTTATGGTTCCATGTTTCCTCTAATCCATTCGAGGTATTGTGGAACTCTTGTATAAATACCAGGAATGCCAGCTTTTCCGCAATTTATTGGTCCTAAAGATACAATACCTAGAAGGTACCAGGAATCGCCGTAGCGGTCGTAGCCCATCAAGGGTCCACCGCTGTCGCCGCTGCAGGAGTCGCGATGCAACTCGCCGCCTGCACAAAGTTGCCTGGACCAAACCTAGTAATAATAAATATTATAAATAAACTAGTGGTGTATGGAATCCTGCCCTAAAGCAAATTGCTAAAACTTCCCGTACCGAAAATTAACATGTCTAAAAAACCTTTAAAATTTTTGGAAAACTTGGAAAAAATGAGATTTTTAAGAATTTTGAAACTTTTGAAAGATTATTTATTTGAATAATAATTTTTTTCATATTTCGATTATTTTTTAATTTCCCGTAGGGAAAGTTATTCCAATCGTCTAAAAATCGAAAATAATTTTCTTGTATATCTTCACGTTTCAGGGGTTTGTACATACATGCACCCATACACACACACACATACATTCATTTTTTTCTAAGTATGCCAAAATGTTCAGAACTGTCAACTCTGAAACGTAAAGATATATAAAAATTTTCATTTTCTCTTTTTTTGTGATTACTATAACTTACCCTACGGGAAGTCAGAAATATTAAAATTCAATTATAGTATGCAATGTTTGGCATGAATAGCATTATAACTTTAATGGGAGAGTAGTTATAGTATTTAACAGTTCTATAATGTCGGAAACATTTAAAAATATGTATTTGATCTAGCAAACTAAACGAACTGAACTCTCTAAAGGCCGAAATAATTCGTTTAATACATTTTTTTGGTTTAGTGTGACTTTAAAGTCACTTCGCCCTATAATGTCCGCACTTATGTGTATGAAAATATTATTTGAGGCAGATAAGCCTAGCAAAGATAATAAATATTAATCTTGGTGGTCTTGGCAAAATTATAAAATTAAGATTTATGCGTCAATTCACAGAAAACTATTATTATTTGTTAGAATATCAAAATTTTTGAATTGTTACCTACGCAATCCATAGAGGGTTAGATCAATGAATATAATAGTGTGTAAATCTCTTGCATAAGTGGTATATTACAAATTATATTTTTTATAACTCCTCAATAGTTTATATTATATTACAAAAACAATTTCAAATTGATCAGAAACTCACCCTCACATTTAACCTACTGTATGGTTGCATACAATCTTCATTTTTCACAAGTGGTACCTTCAACTTCAGTTTTACTGGACTTGGAATTCCTAGATATAGAAATAAATAATATTTATATAATATTTTGTATTATTTGTATAATATATTTATATAATATTTTATATTATTTTTATAATAGTAAACATCTTTTGATTACATTTTCTAATTGTAGTTTATTACTTTTATCTACGCTATTAATAAACCATTTTTAAACCGCTAAACTATTTCAATAATTTGAAACAATAAATAATTCATCGATTTGATTTTATTGATCATACGACACTAGCTTTATTTAATTCAGATTATAGCATTCTTTACTATATGTTCTAAAAAAATAAATTTTGGTATTGAAAATATATTAAGAATAGAATAACTTCATAATAATATTTTAAAACATCTAAAGCTGTATTATTATTTAGTATAATTAGTTTATTTATTATAATCATATATTAATAAATTATATCGGTAGTTTTTAAGGCTTTTTATATTTTATATTTTTATACATAGTTTATTGAAGTTAGTTCATTGTTTTGTATTAGTAATGTGGAAAATTGTTAATTTTAAAACTTACCTAATTCTGTCCTTCCCCAACCGGCCACCACAAATGGTCGTCCAGGTTCCAAGTTTAATTTAGGAAAATACTCTGGTAAAGGTAAACAAAGTGGCTGAATAAAATCTGTAATAGAAATTAAGATATACTTAATACATTTTATCCATGTAAATATTAAACGAAAATTGTATTCTGAATAGAACTCAATAGTTTTTATGACTGCGATATATTATTATATGAATATGTTATTATAATAATTGATTTTATGATTTTTAGATAGCAATTTTTTTAATTTCTAGCGACATTTAGGTTAACATATTGTAGGTCAATAGTATATGATATAGAGATAATGCTTCCGTAATTTTTTTTTTTTTTTTGACAAGATGAAAAATTTCACTCACCACTAAATACTACATTTCTATCCAACCTTAGCAAAGCAATATCGTTATGCTGATCGGATGTGTCGGGCCTGTAAGCATCATGGGGGATGATTTTTTCAACCCCAAAATCTTGAGGTGGATCAGCGCAGTCGTAAAAATCTAATTCCTGGATGCAATCGGATTCACTCTCAGTATTATACTCGCCTAGTCGGACACCAACTCTATTACAAGAAGGTGATGTTAAAATCTTTATTTTATAATCCAAACACCGATTAATAACTCTTATTTTAATATTGATATTTTTTTATTGATACTAAATGAACATTTGCGTCTCACAAAAATTTACAATTATTTTTGTAGAATTTAAGTAATATTGTGTTAAATCTTGATTAATTTTATTAGATTTGGAGTATTAAACGACATATCTATATTGATTGGCACTATTTTTTTATGCATTGCTAAATTTATGTCACTTTGATTTACAATTTCAATATACACCATAAATAAAAGCTAAGTTGCAATTTGCCTTAATGTAAGTTGCATTGAGTCCGTTATGAGTATATAATCATCTTTTGTGGCATTTTACACAAAAGAATTTTAAATAGACAATTCTACTAAAGGTCAATTTTCACTCGCATATTTATACGCATATGCACACTTTTTTTTCAATTTTAGTGCCAAACAATTCAGAATGACTTGGAACGTTGACAAAGCATCGAAACAACAAATCGGAATCAGACGAAAACGTAATCTTTAAAAAATGATAATTTAAATGTTTTATTTAATTAAAAGTTATTCAAACAAATAAATTATGTCGCCTGCATTATATAAATAATCATTGAAATTTATAAGTTGGAAATACGAAAATTTACTCACAAACCACCAAATTTGGAATAACTTTCCCCAGCTATGCAATGGGCAGCAGTAAGAACATATCTCTGACTAATCAGCACACCTCCACAGTAAAACCCAGGCCCTTATAATTTTCTGGAAGAATAAAA